GGTCTTGGAAAACCATGCCACGTATGTATGTAGTATGCAACAAATATTTCATCGCAAGGGAATGAAAATAATGTAAAATCTAGAGATGTGTAGAGCGACCTGGAAGACGAACGAGTACCCTTTCTTGCCGCTCAAGATGTGGATTGAAATCCTCATACTTACGATCCTCGGCCTCCGTTTTGCCGCTCCTCGGAGTCGTAGGTGCCTTTGACATATTGCCGATGATGTTTGTGATGGAAATGGTGCAAAATGACCCCTCTTTATATACACATTATTTTGCTTGTGATGCAATTTGCCCTTTGAGATAGGAAGTTGTTTTCTTTGTGTGCAATTTTAGTACTGTCATTTGGTCTTATTTTATTTTTTAAAAAATATGCTTTGTTTGTGCATGGGTATTCCTATATGCAAGGAGATCAATTATTCTTTTGCCTACTGTGTGCATGAGTAATATTTTTCCTGGGTAATTAAATCTGAATTTTGAAGTTTAGAGACATCCTTTGCACTGTGTTATGCTCAAGGAATTAGTGAAGAAAAGAAAAGAAGGTTTGTGAAAGGAAGTTTGTTTTTCTTTATCTTAGTTTATTTTTTCTCTCGTTTTCTTTTTCTTCTACTTTTCTTTTCATCTTTAACCAAATGAGAAAAAATGTTTTTCATACAGTATCATTTTCTTTTTTCCTTTTAAATTTCTTAATTCAATGTGAATATGAATGGGGCACCAAAGCGGGATGACTCGGGGTGGTTTCTATGACATTGGAACCACATGTCATGGACGATTCGGGGTTGCTACGGTACCCCATTTGTAAAAGTGACAGTTTCTATCCCTCTAACCTAGTAAACTACTCTCCATACCTATATATTGCCATCCCCAGGTGGAATATAATTAACAAGGGTAGCATTTGACTTGTTTAGCCTACTTTTCTTTTGATTAAACTATAAATATTGGATACAATCAAATTTTACAGATTATATTTTTGAATGCAGACTTATTTTCAGATTAGAGTATGTTGAAAAACAAGGTTTTTTTTAATTGAAAAAACATGTCAATAATCTCAAGGTCATATGTATTCTATTGTATTTAGTTTTCTTTAAATTAAACCTTTTGAAATTTGTAATGTGGTTCAGAAAAGAGGGGTAAAAGATTTGAGTTTATTTTTTGAATGAAATTTGTAATATCATTTGAATTTTATCTATGAAGAGTCCCTAACATTTAGAGATTATTAGTAATAAATTATCGCTAATTGTATGGGTTGAATGAAGCGTATTCAGTCTAATAATGTTAAACATTAAGTTTATGCCGAGCATTAACTATTTATTATTCTTAAAAAATATTCAAAAAATTATATTCATTCTATTCATAACAAGAGTAATGTATTTCTAGCTAATGTACTACTTTTTATTTTGGCTCTTTAAACTGTTTGTGCTTTTAGCAATTGTGAAATAGCAATTAATTAATGCAACTTTAATTTCGACGTTCATCATGGATCATCTAGAAACAGCCGCTCTATGTTTTAAACATAGGGATCAGACTGCGTATATCCAACCCCCCTTACCCCGCAATGGTCGGGAGCCATTGAGGCACTGGGTATTGTACTATTTATTTTGGTATGGACAAATAAAGGAAAGCTTCAATTTTAGTGTATATTATTGTTGGGTAGCAAATTATCTCTCACACCCGAAGAACAAGAGATCGAAAATTAATATTTATATATATGGTTATCCAACCTCGTTAGTATGAGGTTTTTTGAGAGATCGATGTTCCAAAATAAATCCATGAGAGTTGGGCCAAAGCGGACAATAACATACTTATGCAAGATTAAGGCGCGGTCCCAACAATTATAAAGGTCATTGGTTATATATTTTAATTAACTTCAACATATTCAACACAAAAGGAACTTTTACGAAAAAGAAACTTGCTTATGCCACACCCTAATAATTAGAATCATTTAATTTACACCCCTGGCATCACAATATATGCAACATTTTTTCTACATATATATGATATATAAATAATTGGAAGTTTTTTTATATAATTATTTTTATTTTGATATTCACTTGGTGATCAATATATAAGCCCCAAGAGCTACAATAACAAGCCCAGCTACCACAACATTCACCACCAACTGCTTGGCTTCATCATATGATGGCTCAATATGGCATTTTTGGGCAAACTTTGGAAGTGGGTTTTCATCATGATGATGATTATGATGATGATGAGCCAAATGTGGCTTCTCTAGGGTTTTTGGTTTCTCCTCCTTGTTTTGCATTTGATCATCATGGAGTTGGTTGTGTTTCTTGGTTTGCATTGTAGGCATAGTTATGGTGAAGAGTTCATCTTTGAACCTCATATCGATTTCTTCCATCATAAAGTCGTCTTTCGGAGTAGTGAATTCGTGTTCGAACCGTTTGAATTTATTGTTTTCAACTTTGCATATGCCGCTAACTATGAACTTGCATGGTGCAGTTCTTTTAATGGCTAAGCTTATCGTTGAAAATCCTGCAGAAATGAAACACGTTCATGGCAAAATAATGATTAATGATGATTATGCTCTTGTGTGTGTTTATGCATGTCACTGATCTTCATGGTCATTTTAAACTAATTTTGTGATACACTAGAAGCTGAATGAATGTGGACACACAGTATGTCTACATTCATTTATTTTTAAATGCAGAGTTAATCGAGTAGCTAACAAACCTGGAAGATAAATGACCAGCTTATTTTTATTATCTCCTTGCCACTCAAAGCATGGCTCAAAATCTTCATACTGAGGACCAGATGGCTCATCGTCATTTGACATATCGTTGTCTCAAAGTAATGAATGTGACGATGAAACAAATTCAAGTCTAAATTTTATATTGATGATAATTAATGTTAGGTATATATGATTATCAATCCTTTTTATACACATCATTATTGCAAGTAGTTTTCTTTCTTTCATTGATCTAAACAATAATTTTAATATCATAATTCTTTGTTTGTGGATTAAGTTCTAGACTTCTAGCTTAAGGTTTTCTTTCAGAAGGGAAATCAAATATTCTTGGAAACTTTATTTATTTATTGATGTAATGTATATATTTGTTTCCTAAACCATAAGTTTAGACAACAAAGCAAGATATTGCCAAATGCGAAGCTAGCTAGCTGATGTTATTTTATTTTGAGGGAATGGAGAATATATTACGGAGTAATATTTTATACTTCTTCCCTTCCATAAAGATGTTCTCATTTTGATTTTTAGGACATGTAACAGAGATATTTTTGTGTTGACTTTCCAAAAAAACCCTTGATGCGATGAGTAGATTATTAATTTAAAAAATATGGTGGGATAGATAGATACAAATAAATTAGTAAGGGTAAAAGTGATTTTTTAATAGAACTATAAAAGACTTTATGGGACTCCACACCAATAAAGAAAATAGAAATTTTTGAGACGGAGGAAGTATATTATCCTAAAATTCTTGGGGTGCAATTTTATAAAATAAAAAAAGTTGGAATTTTACATCTCATAAATTAGTTATTACATTGTTATATATATGAGCCCAGTTCTATGGCCACTGGATTCCAGTGGCGACGGAAGCCACTGCCCCCCTACGAAGCTCCGTTCATAAAATTGATGATTCCTACCCCCCCCGGTAAACCCCCCGCCAAGTCCCGACCCAAACTAATCATCCCACCTACGTCAATTGCATCTCGTAAGTATAAAGTCAAAACTTTTGACTTTAAAGTCAATTATACTTACGAGGTGCAATTGACGTAGGTGGGTTGATTAGTTTGGGTCGGGACTTGGCGGGGGGTTTACCGGGGGGTTAGGGGGTAGAAATCATCAATTTTATGAACGGAGCTTCGTAAGGGGGCAATGGCTTCCGTGGCCACTGGAATCCAGTGGCCATAGAACCAGGCTCTTTTTTCATAGGCAAATTATTAGGTGCACCCTAAACCTCCGTTTGGTACACAAAATTCAAATTATGGAATTTGAATTAGGGATAACAATTCCAATTCTATTACTTGATAACACAAAAATATGTCTATTTATTTGGAATTGGTACTGCCAAAAATGAATTGGAATTTGAAGATTCAATTCCATACAAATCAGTTCCATATATCGAATTTCAACTCTCAATTCAATTCTAATATCGTCAATTCCGTGTACCAAATAGACCATGAGTGTACGTTACTAGCTATGGACCTTTCTGTATATAATTGAATTCAATTCCGATTTCGTAAATTCCGTGTACCAAACGGATCTTAAGTTTACATACGTTACTAGCTATGGACCTTTCTATATAGTTGATCTCAATTAAAAAAATGTTTTTTGTCAAAAAAATTGTCAAGGACGACATTTTCATATTTAAGCTCTAATTTAATTAAGGGTATGTTTGGGAACTTAGATTCGGATTTAAAATACGGATTTGGCTCAAATTCCATTTTTAAAAATTTTAAAAAATTTAGATTTTGATTTAAGAAAATATTTTCTAATTCATAACAAACCTTAACTTGAAATCCATATATTATTTTCCCTTGTCATTTGATATTCAAGGATTCAAATTTTGCAATTAAAATGTAAGAATTAAAATAAAATATTACTCCGGGTAGTTTACAAACACTGCCTAAAGCTAAGGCTTTTGTCCCGAATGTTTGTAGCAAAGAGTATCCGTGACAAAACACCTTGACGAAGTCTGAAGCTAGCGAGTGGGGGAGAGGGCACGCACGCTATTATATGAGGTGGTTTGGGAGCTCTTCCCTCGGGTTTTTAATAAAAACGGGATAAAATGACAAAAATACAATTTTTATCTCAAATAATTCAAAATAGAACAATAAAATGATCACTAGACTGTAGTATAAGATACAAGTTAGAACCACATCAAAAGATTAAATTAAGATTAAAAGTTCAACTCAAGATTTCTTATAGACCCATTTAGCTTTATCTTCAAAGTCGATGTGGCCGTGATACCCTTCTACCACCCCCCCCCCCCTCCCCCAAGGAGTGGATCGGATAACGACGTTGTTTTGAATCTAACTAGCCGGGTTGACCACTTACAGAAGAACTCTCATGCACCAGAAACGAATGTTTTTTTCCAACAGCCCAACACCAAATAGACCACGGGTCATTGAGTATGGACATTCCAATGAGCAATCGAGTTAGTAAAACGGGTCAGGCCGTTGGATATGCATTCCACACGGATCTGTTCCGATGTCATTATAAAATTTAAAATGAGGGTAATGGTCACTATAATAAGTCATAAGACACTTGAACTGAATCACAGTAAGATATTGAATTCAAGAGAGCTAGATTTACGAGTTCATCCCAAGAGATCATAAAACCATTCATTTATCTCTTCAAAGTAGGTGTGGGATTCTCTCCAATAACACAAACATTGCAATAAAATTTTCATTATTTTTTTATTATAAGATAAATCAAATGAAACCATGCTCATAAATCCCAACACGCAATGTTTCTTTATTTAACTGTCAATCAATGTTCGTTCAGTTTAACTCGGAAAAGTCAAGCCGCACAAATTAAATACAACAAGTGATGGAAATATTATTATATATTTGAATTATAGTACGTATAATTTAATTTCGAAAGATATAATAAGCCCCAAGTGCTACAATAACAAGTGCGGCCGCCACCACATTCACCACCAACACTTGAGAATCGTCATTTTCACGTGGAACACGCGGCGGCGAGCCGCCGTCTTTGGTGTGGCCGTCGTGCTTGTCAGTTGTTAACGTCACGGTGAGGATTCCATCTCCGACCTTCCATTCCATTTCTTCCATGCTGATAATGTCAAACCCTTTCGGAGCTTCAAATTTTTCTTTCAGTTTCTTCCAGTCGTTGCCCTCGTCAACCCGGCATTCTACCTCCACCTTCACCTTGTTCTTCTTGCCCTTTTTAACCTTTAGCTTTTTAAAACTTTGGCATTCTAGAAAAAAAAAGGAAGGAAAAAAACATGGATTTAAAATTGATGGTGAAATTTAGGAAAAATTAACATTATATTCTGAATGTAAAAAAAAGTGTTGCAGACTAAAAAATAAGGAAAATGCTTGGTTCACAAATACAATAGTCACAAACTTCACAAACTTACTATTTGTGAACTTTAAAAAAAATAAATGGTCTAAAGTAATTTTAAAATAAAAATTTAAATCATAAATAGTAAGTTTGTGAAGTTTATAATTATTCTGTTTGTGAACCTAGCATTGCTCAAAAAATAAAGTGAGACGATTGACATACTATCTCCATCCTTGAGTACCAGTTTTAACTTTTTTCGGTCAACTATTTTCAACATTTGACCTATAATTAAATAAAATATATATTGTATATTAATTAGATAAAATAAATTTTTGAAAATATTTGATACAATAAATCTAATAAAACCATTTTAGTATCAATATCTAATATCATTTTTATCTAATTTGAAGTCAAAATTTACCGATTTTGACCAAAAGAAGTCAAATATGGATAAATACTCAGAGACGGAGGGACTATTTATTAATGAGTAGATGCAATTTAAATTAAACCTGGAAGATAAATGTGTAGCACATTTTCTATCCATTCGTAAGATAGCTTCAAATCTTCATGCATGTGGCTCGATGACGACATATTACTAATTATTACTCCGTATTATTATTGTCTATTCCCAATGTAATTACGAAGTATATGATTTTCAATTTTGAATAAATATTGATGATTAATGGCCCCTTTTATATACATGCATAAATGGACATTAGTGGAAAAAATAAAATATATAAACGAACACTTAGTTTCTTTCTTTGATTTCTAATGAATTTTTAATATCAAAATGCTTTGTTTGTGGGTTAAGTTTTAGCTTAAAGGTTTTCTTTCATGAAAGAAATCAAATATTCTTGCTAACACTAGTGCTTAAAATATATTCTTCGTATCTAACTAGAATATGTATGGGTTGAAAATGGATATTTTTGAGTGAGTATTTCTTTCATTTAAATAAAATACTTTTTCTGTCTCAAAAAACTTTTCAAATACGAAAAAAAGGCGCGCCTTAAAAATGGTAATTTGCATATTATTTTCTAATTAAAAATCATATTATTTACGATGTTTTGTCAAAATTAATTTCAATTCAATATATAATTTTTAAACATACTATTTTTATTTTTTAATAATATATATATAATTGAATAAATTAAATTTAAAAAAAACTTCAACTAAATCTTGTAAACTAATTCATGAGGAATATTTTAGAGCATGGAGAATATATATTTAAAAAATAATTATACAAATCAAGAAAGAAAGTGATGACAAAACTATACTCACTTCATTCCATTAAACTCTTCATCTTTCATTTTTTTAAATCCCTAAAGCACTTCCATTTTCTATTAAAAAACTACTTTTATCCCTACTTTTTCATACCCTACATATCACATTAAACTTTTTTACTAATAATCATAGTATCACATCTTACTTTTATCCAACACATCGGGGGCAAAATTAGAAACTAAACCAAAATTACACTTTCCTTATTTTGGCCCAATGTCAAAATGGGAATGGGTTAATGGAACGAATTGGAGGATGTAGTATTTAACAAAGCTATACTACCTCCGTCCCAGAGTATTTGTCCACTTTTATTTTTACACACCATCCAATACACTTCTTTAATCCATTTTATCTTGTAATTTATATATTAAAAAATTATAGAAATTATATATTAATAATCTATATGTTAAGACAAATCAAACAAGATCACACATGACTATAGTTAGGCTTACACATTGAGAGAATTTGATGAGTCAAAGTGCTTAGATGAATAGTTCCAAAAATCAAAACTGGAAGAATACTCCGGGACGGAAGGAGTATTATTTAGTGAGGGCTAAAATCCATGATTGGTCCTTCAACTTTATAAGCTGTATACGATTGATTCTTAAGTTTCAAAAATCCATAAATCATCCTTCAAATATTCACTAACCTTCTAAATACAGTCTTTCAAGTTTCAAAAGTTCATAAATAGTCCTTCAAGTATTTATTTTTTTTTGAAAACCCTTCAAGTATTTATTGACTCTTCAAGTGCAGTCTTTTTTACAGCACACGTTGAAAGATAAATGTACGGAGTACTAGCTTCATATATATAACACGGAGTACTTGTACCTATACATAAGTGATTGTTTTTAACATATAGAGAATAAATAAATTCCCACAATTCTATTCAATGTTTTGTGTGTTTTACTATACAATTTGAACTCCATTGAAAGTAAAAAATTATCCCCCAACATTTAAAATGGGAGGAAAATACCCATTGCGCTGCTCAAAGAGCGAGGTTAGCGTCGGCACCCAATGCAAGTATATATGAAATTACTATTACGATTAGCTTTCAACATGTGTCCTAAAAAAGACTGCATTTAGAAGGTTAGATGAATATTTGAAGCACTGCTTATGAACTTTTGAAACTTGAAAGACTACATTCGAAGGTTGATAAAGACTTGAATGATTATTTATAAATTTTTGAAACTTGAAGTATCAATAATGCACAACTTATAAAATTGAAAGACCAATAATGAATTTTAGCTTTTGCCGAGTAATAAAACCACAGTTAAAAAAGTAAATAAAAGGGAACATATGGCATAGAAAGGGTAAGGTACCGTTCTCTTGAATTTATTTCTGTTACTTATTGCTTATGCTTCTTGTCTCATACAAATATTCTTGTTTTGACTTTTAAAAAACTTTAGAGGGATAATTTTGTATTGACTTTCTAATAATATCCTTTAATATGATGGGTAAAAAAAGATGTGATAGATAAAAATAAAATGCAATAGATAAATTATTAATAAAACGATATGATATACTTCCTCCGTCCCTTACTGGATTACAATTTTTTTTCTCTCTCGATAACTTTTGTTTGTTTACGCAATTTCATTAATTATTTGATAAAATATTCTTGTCACCTCTTGTTTTGTAGAACTTTTGACGTAGTTTTTTAATATGTAATTTTTATATCTTATTGATATACCAATTTGTAAATAAAATGATTTCAAAAAGTAAAAAATTTTACTCCATAACCCACAATTTGTAATCAAATTAGAGACGGAGAGAGTATTATGTAAGTTAGGAATTAAAAAAAGAAGTTTAATAGAAAAAAAGAAGACTTCTATGTGACAAGAAAAATAGAAAGGAGCTCTTGGAACGGAGGGAGTAAAACATATGAGTAGATTATTTTGGAATTGAAGAGAAAGAATGACGATAAAAGCTAGTTAAATAAAGTGGCACAATAATGATTCACCTTTAGAGTCGATACTCGAAAAACACTCAATGATGAAAGTGGATTATTAGCATTTCTCAATTCAAAATCAAAACTTAAAAAAAACACGTTAGTACAAGACATCTATTATAGGTAACAATTTTGATGTTCCTAGGCATAACAAGTACACTGATGGACATGAGCCCGGCTTCTAGAGGAAATTCTTTTAACCAGAAAAAAAACCCAAGAAAAAACAGCTGAAAAGAATAGGAAAAGGTGATATCAATATCTAGTCTGAGAAGAGAGATTAGTAGCCATAGTTGGCACCATATAGAGAACCATATCCCCCAGCTTGCCCAGGAATACTTGTGTTTTGGGGGGCTGCGGCTGGCGGGTACATGGAACCTGCTGGGGGTGCATAAACAGCATTGTAGCCTTGGTCAGCAGGTGGCGGAGCTGTTTGCGTCTGTGGTTGTGGAGGAGGAGGAGCAGCTGCAGCATCAGCCATAAAATTCTGCAACAAGAAGCAACATATGCAATGAGTGCGCTGTTTGGTATGGGGTACGATTTATTAATGCGATACCTGCTGCCATGTTTGGCGTGAGACATTCATGTTTTCATTGGTTGAATGAAGAAAGAAAAGACTGTTTTTGAAAACTATTTTCAGAGAAGTGGTCAATTGTATCTTCTCCCAAACGAAGTTTGGAGAACGAATGGGCTGTGGAATAAAGCTGGAAGCAGTTTTTCACAGTTTGGCAAATATGCCGAAATCGCATTTTACTCCGTAAAAACAAAGAGTAAAAATTGTTCCTAAATTCAATGGAAAACACCAATATTGAGATTCACAAATGAGAAAAGAATGCAGTGAATTAAAAACATAGAGGTTAAGAAGAGTATGAATGAATACCTGAATCAACTGTTGTGCAGTCTGAACTTGAGAAGCAGTTCCATTTATCTCAACCGTCATCTCTCCGGGGATTCCTCTTGCTTCCTGTATGGTAACAGTAGCACCACTGACACGCCGAATGTAACTTATACTTGCACCATTTGTCCCAATGACCGCGTCAGCGTAGGACAGTGGAATTTGCATTTGCTGGGTGATCTATGAAGTTTTCAACAGAGCATTGTCAAAATACTTTAAGCTAGCGGTCCATAAGGGGAGTGATGATGGGGGTATATCTGATACTACGACAACACAAGGAATATACAAAGAGTATTTCAGGGGTCTTCTTTCTATTAACATGTTAGCCTCCTTTTAGTAATGTAATAAATATAGAAATTGGAATCGGTACCCTATTGCTAGTATTCAATATGATTACCTATCCGGATGGGATTCTATTTAGATAATATTCATAATATCAACATTGTAATAGTTAAAACTACGTAGTATAAATGAGAGGTCATATTCATTAATAGAAGAATTTGCCACATAAGGGAGGATCATTTCCGGAAATTTCTCCTTCTGAATGTTTCTCTAAATGCTTTCCGTTTATGGCTCAGTAATTTAAATCCTAATTGATCCCATTTTCCTCTATAAGTTACTCCATATCACATCCTTGTCTCCAACAGCAATTAACCAGCCACTTTCCAATCTCAGAGAATGTTTTTATGTGCAATTAGTTTGCAGATATCCCGTAACAAATAAGATGTCAAATCAAACTCAAAATATAATAGAAGCAGTTTTATAAAGCAAAATTACAAGGCTTGACAGATCATGACCAAATACTCACACTGCTAATCATTAATACAACCTATATAGTAAAATAAGTCAGGACTCTGCAAGGAGGGAGACGAAGAAGATTTCATGCTAAGAAACTACACAATACGAGGTTTCAATGTGGATTTTATTAATTTAATTGTATCTTATAACTCAGGCATATGCAACATTATCCAGCAGAACATTCAATTTTATCATAGCAAAAAAATGTCTTGACTCTATCTTATAAGAAAAGAAATCACCTGAGTAACTACAGATGATCCTGATTGGTTGTTAGACGGTGCATGGATTGCCATCGGAGGATTTGGAGTATCTCTTCCATAGGCAGATATACCCTGATGAGGTGGTCTTTCCATTGGAGGAGGCATGTCAGCTGGTGGATAATAATTATCTCGTTGCCTGGGAGGTGGCATGAAATGAGGAGTAGAGCCATATCCAGGACCTCCAACAGCATTAGGATGAAACGATTGAGGTGGAGGACCCCAATGTTGGAGAGGAAATTGTTCCATGGGAGGTTTTAGCATTTGCATCTAAAAAACATCATATCCATCAAGCAATCAAAATAACAGCGCTGGGGCGTATTTTCATGATTAAATAGGCTTACCTGCTGTTCAAAGACTGGAATGATGCTGCGGTCAACCAGAAATTTCTTCAAGTGCGAAGCTATTAATTCAATTGCCGTATGTACGCCAGTAGGCTCTCCAACCACTTCAACAACCCTATCATCTGGCAAAGCAAACACTGGAAGGTCCTCTG